TAACATATTCGATGTTATTCATGGAATGTATCTTATACTGCTGCGTTAGATAGAACTTTGCTTTTCAGGGAACCTTTCCCGCGCTGTTTTACGCTGCTCTCCGTCAGTGGCCTTGAAGCTCCAAGCAGAACTGTGTCAGCACTTTCTCTAAACATTTTCCTTTTCTCGGTGTAATTCGGCTTTGGGTATTTATTCGCTTCCCATGTCGAAGCTGTTCCAATATTTCTGCGTAGATTGCAACCATTTTCCTCAGTGTAACCCTGTAGTCCAGGCCAAAATGTTGAAACAACTTCAGTACACTAATCGGTTAAACCATGAAAACTGAAGTTAGTTGCAAATTACGTCGAGTTCCGTTTCGTTCCGTGGGAGCAACCAGCAAGCCCTACAGGGCGCCGCGGTCCTGAACATTACCACAGTATACTCAGCGGAAATGGAGGCTCCTGTAATACTGTCACAGTAAACAGGCAATTTACGTAATTTCATTATGTTTCTTTCTAAGAAAAACAAGTGAAAAGGGGTTTTCGCTGATATTTGCATAAGTAGTCTTATTAACATGTAAAAAGGTAAAGTTATCCCTGTAACAGGCCGTGAAGGCCTGTAATGTCGAGGCTCCCACATTCTCTAGACAATCGGCTCACAGATGGTGGTGAGGTCAGCCTTACGCTCCGGCATCCCTTTATCCCCCAGGAAGATTCCTGTACTCATTTCTGTTAGAGGCTGAGTCAACGGCAGGGCCATAGTGCGGCTGGAAGGATTAGTCAACTGAAAAATACAATAACCTCATCGGGAATCGAACTCGTGGCCTTCCGGCTTGTGGCATAGTGCCTCAACCAACTGCGCTACCGCGTGCGTAAACGAATTTAATGCTGAGACTCGTATTTTCTTTGTTATGACGCAGCGCAGTCTGCTATGTCTGCATTTCGGAAGAACATATCTGCAATACTTCTATTTCGAAGATGGGGTAGCAGGTTCCTCCGAAATGTTGGTAACCACATACCAGACTACACGGTGCTGTAAGCCATAAGAATTTAGTCTCTATTTTCACCGCTGCAAGAATCTCGCATCGTGTAAGATTCGATTTTATTGACAGGTCTGGTAGGGGTACAAACGTCAATGCTAATTCTTTGTCCGACGTAATTAGAGTTACGGTTCATTCGTGGAACAAAATGCGAAAAGATAAATACAGTAAACCTTTGTTATAAGGACCCAGAGATAACGGATTTCGCATATAACGTACAAAATGTGACAGTGTGAATTTCGGAATTCTTAGAGAAGTCGAGACACTAAGAAAAATATTTATAATAAATAAGAGCCCCAATAAAAATACCCTTTACGTAGTCACATGGTATGTTTCTATGTGTATTGCGTCTATTGGCTGTATATCCTATGGTGTACTTTAGTGAATATCCCTTCACTCGGTTATAGTGGACATCGGAGCAAATGCACAGCATTAGTCCGTTATAACGAGGTTAGTGTATTTACAAAATTTTGGTATGAAAACTGAAAGAAAGAAACCACTTGGCAAAACTAGGAGTAAATGGAAGTATAATATGAAGAAGAGGCTTTAAGGCAGTCAGTAGATCAGAAACATCTGGAAAGTTTCGAAATGTGGTGTTGGAGAAGGATGGAGATCAGTTGGACCGATTATATGAGAAATGAAGAAGTGTTAATTAGAGCCAGTGAGCAGAGGAATATCCTACACGAAATAAGAAAACGGAAGGCTAATTGGTCATGTTTTACGCAGAAACTGCCTTCTAAAAGAAGTTATTGAAGGAAAGATAAAGGGGCGGATAGAAGTGACAAGAAGACGAGGAAGAAGACGTAAGAAGATGCTGGATGACCTTGGGGACAGAAGAGGATACTGTCATTTGAAGGAGAAGCTCTAGATCGCATTAAGTGGAGGAATTGTTTTGGAAGAGACTGTGGACCTGTCGTCTGACAGATTACTGATGATGATGATGATGATGATGATGATGATGATGATGATGATGATTGTAGACTGGTTTTGGGCAGACCTGTATGTCGGGATCTTTTTTATGTGGAAATTAACCTTCGGGCTTTACAAAAGGCGGATAATTTCTTGAATAGCTGTATGGCCATTCTGAATTACGAAGGGGTTGAGGCACTATCCTACAGTCCGGCAGGTCTTGGATTCGATTCTCGTTGAGGTCACTGGATTTTTCAATTGACCCAGTCCTACCAGCCTCACTGTGGCCCTGGGGTCGATTCAGTCACTACCAGAAATGAGTACCAGGAATATACCTGGGGGTAAAGGGCGGCCAGCGCGTAAAACTGACAAACTCACCGCCATCTGTGAGCCGATTATCTAGAAAATGGGAGCCTAGACGTCTCACAACCCTGTGGGCCTCCACGGCCTGTTACAGGACGATGGCTTTACTTTACCATTGCCCGTAGAGTTGATTAGAATCAGAATTAGTCCTGAGCCATTCAAGACTTTTTTCCCGTTGCCGTGCTGCTGAATGAGTACCAACGTTTCTGAGCAGCCCGGTGCCTCCATTTTCAGGATTCTTCAGTCCTGAAGTTTGATTTCTTTTTCGTCGATTATTTAACAGCACTAGAGGCCTGCAACGTCGGATTTGGAATGAATCGATCGTTGCCTAATAGATTTACAATGCACGAATTTGCATGAGAGATTGAGGAAAACCACAAAAACTCGCATTCGGGATATCCGTTAACCTGGTCGAGATTCAAACCAAGCACCTCCGAAATATGAGTCAGTCCTTTCGGCGTGTTTGGAATGATCCTCACTGTAAACAGCGATTACTTTCTTAACAGCATTAATGGTTCGGTTTGTGTGATGGACATCATTGCAATTGCTGCGCAGTGAGGCCGAATTATTTGGCTGAACTTCAAATGTTAGCACAAGCCGTGCGCATTACTGCAAGTGCAACCTGCCCCGTTGCTCTTTGGCGGGAAAATGCTTTGAATTGCTTTAATTTAGTGTGTTCAATAAATCTGGTATTGATATGAAATGAGGACATATTTTTTTCGACCGCTGTGTAACTGCGACCCTCCTGTTTTCCGTACGAACGGAGTGAACACAATGCAGTGCTGCCCTCTCGCTGTTACGCGACTCATTGCTAACATTTATCCACGTTAACTGCTCGAATAAGCTTTGTTTCAATTGTCCTCAGAACTCGCAACATTTACGGTTGACGTTTCGTACTGCACTCTTGGCTTCTCGTTTGTCGTCTGTTGCAGCGTTTCCCAATGCGGGAACCGCGACCCTCCGTGTGGCCGCCAAAAATTTGCCAATAACAATGGCGCTCAGTTCCTTTTATCCTTAAAGACTGCATTACATTTTATTCATTTACTTTAATAGAAAAAAAGTACTTGATTCACATTACTACGGCCAAGGATTACTAGTAATTATTTTCTGAAATCGCTAAATCACAACTGAAGACTATTTATTGACTTGCGAATGAGGGCTTAAACTGTTTTGTAAACTCAGATTGCAAGATTTTGAATATCGCTAGTAAAGCAATCATTAGAGAAAGTTTCAATTATATTTTAATTACATGATATATAGGCATTTGAACAAAGCCAGAATTTGGGTAAAACGTAGAATTTTCGCGTCGAACGTAATTTTTAAAAAACAGTGTTGACAAAAGCCCGAAAACGAAAAGGCGGCTAAAGTAAGAAAATATGTTTTTTTACTGTTGACGAAGAGTTTAAATTAACAGAGTACAATGTTATTCATACAAAATTTCACATAAACTGGTGAATTAGTATTACCAATATTTGTGTGCAAAACAGACATTTACCTCAGTAACAGAGTTCATAAGGATGATTTACTTGCAATGAATACTAGAGGACTATTCTGATCAACTAATAAAGTTAATTTAATTTTCACAATTACAGCAGTCTCCCTTTATGCCACAATAGGAATTGTTCGGCACTACGTTTGCTTAATGTCAACTGTCCATGTTCATTTACTTTACTTTCTCAAGCAATATTTATATGTTCTACACATTTTACAAGGGGGCACACGGTAGCGTAGTTGGTTGAGGCACTATGCTACAAGCCGGAAGGTCGCAGGATCGAATCCCGATGAAGTGATTTTTTTCAATTTACCTAATCCTTCCGACCGCACTATGGCTCTGGGGTCGTCTCAGCCTCTGATAGAAATGAGTACCAGGAATCTTTTTGGAATATTCTTGGTGGTAAAGGGCCTAAGGTTGACAACCTTGCCGCCATCTGTGAGCCGATTGTCTAGAAAATGTGGGAACCTCAACATATCAGAACCCTATGGGCCTCCACGGCCTGTTACAGGGATACCTTTACTTTTTTTACAAAATTATATAGGCACAATATAGAGAAGGATACAAATGTAGTGACTCACTCTTGTAATCCAAACTTTTAAGAAGCGAACAGGCGATTTTTCGGGCGTTTACCAACACTGTTATGTAAAACTTACGTTCGACGCGTAAATCCTGTATAACTAAAAATTCGGACTTTTACATTAACACACACACAATATATTCTTAGATGCAACTTCACAAGTCTTTGGTCGAATCACCGCGTAATCCATGCTTTTGTGTAAATTCAACGTCAAGTTTTGTCTACAGAGGAAATCATCAGGTATATATGATGATGATTCGCGGAAATTGTTACACTGTACTATAGTATTGTCACATGTCTGCTGAGAGCTGGAATTGTGAAGCCAGATGAGACAGTCATAACTAGGAAAGGGCTCTGTAAACATATCCGCTGTGGCAGTGGCTCAGCGGACGTCACGTGACCGCAGCAGCGCTTACACGGTCCTTCTGTTGGACCTTGGTCCATCTCAAGCCCGCTACCTACACACAGAACAACACAAACAGAGAATAAACGCATACAGACATCCATTCCTCGAGTGGGATTCTAGCTTCAGAAGCCAGTTCATGCCTTACACTGCGCGGCCGTTGCGCCACTCACTAAGCTTTGAAGGGTTTGTTATCAGTTATATAAAGTGAGACGCCAATCTTTTTGTGTCACAGACTCGAAGCACGTTATGCTTCCGACGGGGGAACTTCACGTGATGAATGCTGATGCACAGGACAGTAGGAGCAGCTACCAGTGTCGAACCTTGCACCGACTGACAGGCAGGACGCAGGAGAGTGTCACTGCTGGTCGCATTGCTATAGCAGGTATGTCTCCTCTGCCCTCTTCGCGAGGTAAGCATCTGCCGTTCCATTGTCACTGCATTTCATTTGGTCCGAAATCTGGTCGTATTTGCGGTACAAGATCGTAAGACTATTTTACAAAAGAGTTCATGAAGCAGACAGCGGGGGCCTCGGTATTGGGCTTCTTTTGTTTTCCCGGTACTTCCATCGTCACAGAGGACCTCACATCCCGATTAACCTCCACCTTCACAAGAGTCTAGCAATCCTCTCCCTCAAAGGGGGAAAGGAAAATGGCACATTTGTCCTTTTTGTTCAAATAAACCGAATCCCACTCCCCCAAGCCAGGATTGTCACAATTTTATGTTTTGGATTTCAAAATCTGATATCCGCCCATAACTTCTTCCGAGGACTTGCGTAATCTGGCACTGATGGACCTACTGCTGAAGCTCCTCCCCGCATGCGTTCGAACGACAGTCAACCTGAGACCAAGGTCCCTGTAGGGCCACAATTTTTCTCACACCTTACATTTGCAGCGTGAATAGCCAGACCTCTTTTCCTCNAACACCAGCAAAACGCTGAAAAAAAGTTTTGATCATTTCGGGACTCTTCTTTCAAAGCACAGCATGCTTCCACGCGACCTTGTTTTTGTTCAGCAGTCAGCAGTCGTGGCACGAATTTCGCAGCCACCCTTTTCATTCCCAAATCTTCTGTGAAAATTCGCTGAAGTGAGCTCCAAGTCACTCCCGACAGCTCCACAATTTCTTCAATGGTCCGTCGTCGATCTTCCTTGATGATTTCACGAATTTTTTCAACATTTTCATGTGTTCGGGCCATTGCAAGAACGACGACCACACAAAACAGTTGTCACTATAAACTCTGCCGAAACTAGTCCTTACCTTCTGAAGCAACGGTAGTCGGCTTATCGACTCAGCAATGTTAGCTGTATGCGCTCATAGCGGCAAAACGAGGTACTACAAAAGCTCTGCCCACAAAAAAATTAGTTCGGTTTCTTTTGAGTACCCCATCGTATAAGTGAGAACTGCTCGAGTCCCAATAACACCCATACACGTCACTGACCTACTAGACCATGGGACTGCATGTCCCCCTATTTTGCACTTCGTACACCCAGACTAGTGAGCTTACTGAGCTCCACAGTCCCACCGGCCACAAATCTCCGTCACGGTTTGCACGACTTCATATCCCAATGTGATCTGAAAGCTAATGGACATTTACATACATTTCCTTTGTACACTTTTATACTTCATTTCGTGGGAACAATTGACGTTTAAAAATGAAACGACATTTTTTATAATGGAAGTCGTAAATATAAGACGGCCAGAATTCCGTCCTAGTCTTGACTCAAACACTGTTCATCACACTATAGTACGTGGCATCTCTCTTGGCGGCGTCATCATTACGTATCAGGAAGACACCAGCAAATCGCTCCTCCTCTCTTTCTCCTCAGCTTCCATTTCCTCCAGGATCTTGAAGATAAGGCAGAAAGGTTTCACACAAACTTCGCTCTTCTCGACACGGAGATCCATTTCCAATGGAAGAATTTTCTGCAGCATATCCTCAGATCCCGCCGGCATCCACAAGGAAATGCTGTCTCACATTCCACGCTCAGGTATCGCGTGTCCATGAGCTTATCGTAAACTGCAAGCGTGTCCGGATGCCGGATTATAAACCAGCTAGTTGATGTTCACTGCAGGTTCCGAAGCCATTGGTCCACACGTGGTGAAAGTAGAATTCATTCATTCATCCATCAATGGCTCTACAGCACTTTGTTGGGCCGTGGCCTCTTCTTCAGTTTCATAACTTTTTTATACAGTCGGTAGGACTCCTTGGACTGGAGATTAGCCGTCGCAAGGCCGCAGCCTACACACAGAAGGATTCGAACCCACGATCCCAACTTTCGAGCGATCGAAGACAGTTCATGCCCTAGACCGTGCTACCACTGTAATCGGCGGGTGAACGTAGAATACCATATCCAAAATTCATGCTACAGCACATTGTCGCAGTCTTCTTCTGTTTGAAGAAAGCATGGGATACCATGTATGCCAAAAACTCTCCAACGATGGAAACTCAGACGTCGGATACCAAACTGCATTTCATATTTTCTCCTGGTTAAACAGCAGAGCTCCTTTTCCAACTCCTGTTGCAGCGTGAGAGAGGTACACCTCTTCCAGACCCTATTATTCAATCCTGGTATATCTTCTGTGACGTAAGATATTCCAGGATTGAATCACAGGTAACCCTCCACCTATGGTTTCCGACTCCTGCGATGCTCAACTTGTTACCTCACCCATCGCTGTTATTTTACTGAAACGTCTTCAGCACATCCGGACTACGCGGCTGAAAGTAATGACGGGTTGCCTATTCCAGGTTCCACTTGTGCATTTGTATAGGACGACATGATTTTCTCCTGATGCCATGGTCAGGCTCTATGCCACATCTCATTCGCCGGCGTCAACTAGCACGATCTCCTTGGCCACATGTCACACCACTGGATATGATCCAAGCATTCCACCTTTTGAAATCAAGGCTGTCAACTGATTGTCTTTGCTGGATCCATGGCGATTTGGACCTGCCAGATGAAGATGCCAAGGAAGCTGCTTAACATGACTAGTTAACATCTGAATGAGCTCTGATCAGTGATCGTTTCTTGTTAAGACAAACAGACTCTTAGAAACGTCTGCCTGTAGAAACATCCTGTCCTGCTTTTGTTCTTATTCATAATCAGATGGCTTCGGATTGGCCGCTGTCACTTGACACTCGAGACGGTACGAGTTTGTTCATCCTGCGAGAACTTCTTGCTGCCCTACACAATCCCATCGCATGTCTGCTTTATGATGAGGAACGCGCTGCCATCCATTCTGTGGCACGCAGCGCGACACATGGTGAACGTCGTAGCGTGTCAAGTGGTTTCTCATTCTTGAATAGTCTGGTCTGCCCAAGTCAATTTAACTTGCTGTTATTTTAAGCAATTTTATAGCTTTCCAGACTATGAAGAATGCCGTCTTCTAGGATGTGACGCCGTGTAGATTTTGTGTGAACCGACGTTCCTCCGAAACTTCGGTTCACACAAGCTCTATATGACGCCACATCCCAGAAGACGGCATTCTTCATAGTCACCGCCGTGAAAACCTCAAATCTTACTTTCTAGCCTACTTTCCTTATTTTGAAAAAAAAAAATGATGCTTATGAGACCACCTTGCTGTCTGTTTGTCTCCATCTGTGTGTTCCCCCTAATTGTTTAGACTTATGAGATTACTTTACTGACTGTCAATCCCACCCATAATTTTTGTTAGGATATCGCTTTGCTCTCTGTTTGTGTGTCCCTACCAATCTTTTCGTTTTCTCTGCGGCCCGTGTCATCAGAGGAAGGCAGTCGACTAGTAAGGTCCCAGAATTTCTTGTATAGTTTATACCGACGTCCGCAGTTTTATTGCATGAATTTCTGGACCTCAGTTACTGGCCCCTATACAAGCTGACATTTCTACCACTCGTAACAGCAAATCACAGAATAATTCATTCAAGTTTGACACAGGAAGTTGTTGTCCGACTCGTTCAGTCTCGCCTGTCACATGTACTCCTCTCGTGGCCCAGATGGCTTGGAAGCTAACGAGCTTCTGTCCTGGCCACTTCCTCCACACCCACACAAGGTGAGGTCCCGTTTCGTTGCTAGGCAGTCGTATCCAGTATTTGCTAAGGAAACGCGATCCGTATCCAGCACAGTTTAGCTGCTTGACAGCAGTGCAGGAAGTGCTATGGCGGTAAATAGTGGGAAACTCCTCATCGGAAATATACATTAATGCGACTGCTAAACAATGAACAATGTAACAAATTTAATAGAATATATCAAATTACATGTATAGCCTAATACGTTTGGGCCCATTGAAGCCATCCTCAGAGGCATAACAACAAAAGGATGTCAGTTTTACACTTGTAGATATAGCCGAAGATTCTAAATTATAACATCTCTTAAAGAAATTATTCCTTGTATAAATAAACAGAGAAATGTTCTGTGTTATTCATAATTTTTCCTGTTTTCTCCCATGATCAATTTCCTTTGTAATAGGTAATGGTAGAATTGTAAAGGTAAGGTAAAGCTATCCCTGTAACAGGCCGTGGAGGCCCATAGGGTTGTGAGACGTCGAGGTTCCCACATTTTCTAGACAATCGGCGCACAGATGGCGGTGAGGATAAGTAAAGCTATCCCTGTAACAGGCCGTGGAGGCCCATAGGGTTGTGAGACGTCGAGGTTCCCACATTTTCTAGACAGCTCATAGATGGGGGTGAGGCTGGCAGCCTCACGCGCCAATAGCCCTTTACCCCCAGGAAGATTCCTGGTACTCATTTATATTAGAGGCTGAGTCGACCCCAGGGCCAGTGTGCGGCTGGAAGGATTAGGTCAATTGAAAATCCATTGACTACAACGGGAATCGAATCCGCGACACTTCTTATAGCATAGTGCCTCAATCAACTAGTCTACCGAGTGTCCCTGGTAAAGTCGTACCTGTGCTTAATTAGTTAAACACCACGCCATGAAGACGTATGGGGGAGTTCAAATCTAGCTCCACCATTCTTGACATCGGCAGGAGATGGATGGAAGCGGTTAGTTTCATGCCCCGGTCGCTTTACCTCATGGGAAGGAGTCTCCATTGCCCATTGGACAGGAGGCTGTGTGGGCCCCAAAGCCGGTCTACACGCTGTGGAGTAGAAGAAAATCTTTTGCCTTTACCAAGAATCGAGTCACAGCCCTTCAGTCTGTAATTCGTCGTTACACCGACTGGGCTAACCACGCTACATCAGTATTATCTGGTGAAAATTAAGGAAACCTTCATAACGCTATTTTCTTCGACCTTCTGTCACTTCATTCCTGTTAAACCAATTATTCTGTTCAGAATTCTGTTCTCGTTCACCATCAGCTTGTATATTTGCCTTAACGAGGGAGAGTAAGTTGTAGGCCATAAAAAAAAAAAACACACAATCGTGCCAACTTCCGAATACTTTCATCTCTACGATCCTAGATAGTACACAGGAGTGATGACAATCTTACCCGAGTGACAGCA